GGCTAAGATATTACAGCTCAGTCGAGAAGGATGCCATTAATATTAACATCTTGCTCAGTCACGAGCACTAGCCTGTCGTCAGTGAGTAGATGCTCTCTTCCTTCTGTGTAGTGATATGGCTGGCAGGTGTTTGGTAGAAAGAAAATACTTCCTACATGAAACTGCTCACAACAAGGTCTGTGGATTATCTTGAGTAACCAGGTCATGATTTCTGGAAAGATACATTGCTGTTGAGTTTTTCCAGATGTATTATCTGGCACTTGGAGCACCACAAGCTGAGTGCCATCTAGTTCCATTATATTGGAGAGAAGGCAGACATCTCTACAGCCGATATCTCCAACATGGCAACTCACACTAAAAAGTTCTAGATTGATAGATAGCACTACAGGTAAGAGGAAAAATATATATTCTTGATTTTTGGAGTGAACTGTCCCTTCAGTGTATTTGACTGACATTTTTAATACCCGGTAACTAAAATCTGTGAGATCTCAGGCTCATATCTTAAATACATTTGTAATGAAGAACAGTAGCGGCTTCTTTTATTGTGACAAGTTAAGTTAACCTGTAATGTCACAGGGTAGACATTAAGGCAATTTATATTAACCTGGATTAGCTTTGCAATATAGTTTGTCAAATGTGGTTTTTGGCACTTTGAGCACCACAGTCTGAGTGCCATCATCTTATCCACAGACCTTGGTGTGAGCAGTTTCATGTAGGAACTATTTTCTTTCTACCAAACTACACCCGCCAACCAGAAGAAAGCATGCATCTACTGCTAGCTCAAGTAGCACCACTAAGCTAGCTAAAATCACAGCTCCGCGAGTAAGGACACCATTAATGTTAACATCTCGTGCATCACGAGCAGAAGCCTCTCGTCCATGAGTAGATGCATGCTTCCTTCTGTACAGTGATACAGTTGGCAGGTGTAGTTTGGTAGAAAGAAAATAGTATTTTTGATATAAGGGGGAACCGTCCCTTTAATATACTCCTTTGAGTTGAGTTGAACATAAATCCTTTTTGAAAATAGAAATGTATTCTGTCCTTTTCATTCAGATAATGTTACTTTTCCTTTTCAGGCATGTATATTTTAGAACATTTTCCAAGAGCAGACTGTTTGTTTGCCTTACTTACTGACGATCCAGTTCGAATCAGTGTGCTATTATGGTGATTGACAGTAATTCCTTTAAAATGAAGCTACATGTCCTGCCATTTGCTCACTTATATAGTTATACATAGTGGAGAGGGTTCAAATGTGGCCTGTCATTATGGTGAGCCGAACATCTGCCAGTCAGCCAAAGAATGTAAGCGAAATATATCATGACAAAGATAATCATTTGAACGGGTTCTTGATTTGAAGCATAGTTGTAGAGCGGCTCTGTGATGCAATCAGTATACTAATACACCAGTGTTGTAACATTTCTTAACTTTGCAGAGATTTAGTAGGACAAAAGTGGATACACAGTGAATTGAAGGTGAGCTGACAGAGAAACAGCTGCTGGCAGGTTCATACAATGAAAAAGCCATGAATACAAATTGGATTTCAGCTTAGTGGAACATTCAATGTATGGTTAAGACACAGGGGATTCAAAATTTTCAATAAAATAAGCATTTTTATTGTGATTGCAACTTTCTTTGTTCGTTTTTTGGCCTCCTGACTGTCACCAGGGGGATAATAAAATGAAATTATGCAAATGTTTATCCACTCTTCACTTTGAGCAAACTGAATTTGTGGTTGCATTGCCTTGACTGCAAGCGCAGGAAATGAACCTTCAAATTGATCGAATAAACGCCTCAACTGATACGCCGCCGAGGCATCAAGTGTGAGCTTCATGTGCCAGTATCACACACTCGTCAGTCGCGCTAAGGCTGCTTTTATGGATAGAGCTTGTACTCCATGACATAAATCTGGATAAGTCCTGCTGTAACGCCGCCTATTAATCTATGCTCTACTCTCACAGTAACAAGATTATTTCAAGCCAGGGCTCCACTGGCGTAGAGCAGAGGAGACAGCCTGTGCATGCCTCACCCAAGGGTGCATTTTAATAGGCTTTCAAACTGCAGAGTAGGATGTGACATTGCTTGTCCTCTGGTTTTGAGTACATTAGACCAGGTCTCTTTTACTGCAGTCCAGCCTTTGGCCACGTCTTGCAACTTAAAGTACAATAGGTTTGATGTCTTATGTCTTCAGAGAATATGTTCTGTTTACCTGCCCACCTGCAGTGCCCAAAAAAGTTTTGACGCCTCTGAGATTAATTCTCATCATGACACTGTTCTAAAGCTGAATTAATGATGTAATGTCATTGACCTGCAGCCATATTGTCACCTTTTAAAAAAAGACCAGAGGACAAGGAAGCTGTTATGAATAATTGCAGAGCTACACCAGTCTTAATATTACACTCATGAACTTGAGGAGGATGGCTAGTTAAATCTGTACTTTCCTCTATTAAACACTCTGTGGTTTAACCAGGCAGCTGTCTCCATATTGACCTGGAGCTGGAGTACAATTTAACAATCACTCTGATCACCTCAAGCGAGAAACAAGATAAAAAGTTTGTGTGTGTTTCCACAAAATGGGTGTTATTTAAATGCAAGTGGCAATAAAGCTCTTTCAATCTCTGTTACCTCCTCTCGACTGGCAAACAGTTAGCTGTCAGGTTGCTCACAGAAGCATGTGACACATCAGGCTCGCTTTGGGTTTAAACACAAAGGATTACGCTGGCAATATTCTGCATTCTTCTTATTGTGAACAAATCCCATGAAAAGACCAAAACCAACACGGTAGTTCTTCTGTCAACACTTAACCCCAAACTCAGTAGTCCTGAATTAAGACGTAAACCTAAAAATGGTACATGAGGCAGCAGAACTTCAACCCGTGGGGACTTGGCTTGGAAACTCGAGGGATGCTGTTTCAAGTCTCCCTATGGACCAAGTGTGGAAAGTGGACTGACAGCTGCAGAGGTGCCAGTTCACCTTCTGGGCACTGCTGACGTCCCCTTGAGCAGTGACCCTGTCTTAGAGACTCTTTCTGGTTGTTCAAGCACTGGTGGATTGTTGCAGATGCTATCAGGAACACTAAAAGGAGTCAGAGGAACCTGATTTATCTGTCTTATGGCCTACTGTCAGGATCTAGTGATAGTCTTAGCATTAATGTAGTCATTCATTATCTGTAACTGCTGATCGGGTCGCAGGAGGCCGGAGCCTATCCCGGCTGTCATTGGGTGAGAGGCGGGATACTCCCTGGACAGGCCGCCAGACTATTGCAGGGCTGACACATAGAGACAGACAACCATTCACGCTCACATTCACACCTACGGGCAATTTAGAGTCACCAATTAACCTGCATGTCTTTGGACTGTGGGAAGAAGCCAAAGTACCCGAGGAAAACCACCGCTGACACTGGGAGAACATGCAAACTCCACACAGAAGGGCATTTATCCTTTATTCAAAAGTGATAGCTGAAGACAAGAGGAAAGGCAGGAAGAGAGAGGTGTGACATGCAGTAAAGGCCTCAGGCTGGAGTGGAATCCAGGCTGCTGCGATAATGGTCCGCGCTCTGCCTGGTGAACTACCAGGGTGCAGATACTGATACTTATTACTGTTAAAAGCAGCTAATGCAGTGTCATGTGGGGAAGAGCAGTGTGTGATTTTTTAAGAGGTGAATAATCAGACTGTTAATGTAACAGCTAACACTGACCAATTACAGTTTATGAATTATTTCATTACCAATGCTAAAGATCCGATTTGACTTAGATATTAATTTCACTTCTGTATACCTGAGTATTTCTTGCCTGAGCCGCTCTACAGTGACAGACAGTGAACTCCGTCTCTGTGTCAGGGGACTGGATGCTGAGGCTTCTCCCTCCTCCTCCCTATATTTCTGTTGCAGCTCCAAGCTTTCTTGTTCGTGGTTTCTTCCTCCTTCGTTCAGTCATCATTGCAATTATGTGTCAGATTAAGTTGTAAGGATGCACGCCACAATGTGCTGCGCCTGTGTGACACATACTGTATGTTGTTTGAGGCAGACAACAGCAGTGAGGAAACAAAGAGTGTGTGCACTAGATGTGTTCACCATAACAGCACGTTTCTACACAGACAGTTTTACTCTTGAAATACAAATGAGTACAACGTAGAGGAGAGAAACTGATCCCTTTTTTATATCAATCCTATTGATACAAGAGCCAGTCTTCAAAACGAAAAATGTAGTATCTGTGGTATCGATATTTTGTTATCGATCCTTTCTCCCTTATGCTGCAGAGAGGGTAATACCATTGTCACAGTGTACTTGCAGATAAATCTCCCTTTATTTCCATTCATCATTCTTTGAAAAGGGCAAAGAGAACCGTTAACTTTACAAGTAACAATTTGTGCTGCCTCACCAGTAACTGTACCAGTTCTCCATGTTCTTGTATCTTTAATGTGACATGATATGACTTTGTAAATGTCTCATTCATGCTCTCGACACAACATTAAAAACCTGTGGTGAGATGCTGGCTCGTAACAACATACATGCGTTAAACCCCTTTCAAAGTCACATTTGTTGTTTCAAAGCTGTATTAGTCATGATGTAGTGCCTGGCTTGTACCATGGGAAAAGACAGAGAGGGCTTACAGAGGAATAACCATCGGTCTGTCTTCTAATATGTTCCATATGTGGCATGAGAGAAATCCATTACCATAACTCAGGCTGAGCACGGTTTCATTCTGAATAGCAGGTCTCAAGGCAGGGGAACTTATTACAACAATGGTATGCTAATGATTCTTTAATGACTCCACTTAGATGGTGTTCCCTGTTTCTCAGCAGTCTGCCCAATAGATAATTTCAGCTCATTTTCACTCAAAGTTTTGTCTTGTGACTCAGTGATACTCAAACTTTGACATAAATGTTTCTGATAATAGTCGCTGTAGCTTTGAATTTGTTTCGAGGCTCTATGAAATGATTACACTTGTAACCAGAAATGCCACCACATCATTGTCTTTTGTCATCACTGCTCTTCTCCGCAGACAGAGAACGATTTGTGGGAGGTGTGGAACAAAACGGGGCATCAAGGGAATAAGTGGAACCGAGCAGAGATCCCTCTGAGGAAGCTAAGGAACTTTGAGGTGATATTCGAGGGGATCCGCTCGATGGATGTGAGTGGCGGAGCTGCACTGGATGACCTGGAGTTCATAAACTGTGCCCCAAGTAGGTGATATGAACAGGATGCACAATTTGTAAGCAGTGTAAATGTTGCCCATGACCATAATGAAACTGTGGAGCCGCCTTTGCCAGCCAGATGCCATTAATGCAAAGTACTAACTACTGCTAATCAAATTGCGCTAGCATCAATACTACTAACTCAAGAAAATACACCCCCAAAAACCTGAAATGTGCTCCTAATCCTCCTCATCTAATCTGTCAATGTGTCTCTCCATATCTTTACAAAAAAAACAACTCTCCATTAGTAACTGCCATTGACATGAACACCAGACTGGAACAAGAGTCATTCAACAATATAATTAACTGTATAAAAAATGAATTCAAAGGGGATTTAGTGTTAAAGGGGACCTATTTCAGGTTCATATTTGTATTTTGGGTTCCTACTGGAACATGTTTATATGCTTTAATGTTCAAAAAATACTATATTTTCCTCATACTGTCTGAGCTAGAACATCTGTATTCACCCAGTCTGCTCTGATTTCTCAGCATTTCAGTGTCATTCATATTTCAGTGTCCATCATTGCAGCCAGGGAATGACTGTTACAGAGAATAGCAGCACTTCCTGCAGTAAAAATTCACTAATAATTGCCTTTAAACCAAAAATTTCACAACTGCAGGAATTTGATCTAAAATCTGGGAGAATTCTTCAACATCGCCAATCAAGATCATGTTTTGTTTCCCTGATATTAGCATGAAGCTACAGGTAGCAGTGTTGCAGCAAGACAGTGACTATAATGGAGTATGTCAGCACTTTCTAATGTGACAATTTACCAATGAAAACTTCTAAACCCAACAGGAATATGATCTGAAATCATGGAGTATTTTGCAACATCGGCAATCAAGATTATATATTATCCATACATTAGCATGTAGCTACATGTAGCAGTGTAGGCTACTTAAAGTAATCAAGCCATCAATCCAGATATATCTGTTCATCCACTGTATACCAGCAATACGGTACAGTGAAGACCATCTGAGAATAAATTACACGGTTCCAGTTGCCTTCTCACAGATTCCGAGTGTAAATGGGGAAGTGGAGTCGAACACCACCAGAGGAACATGTGTGTTGCTGTAAGACTGGCATACAAAATGAAGAACATAAACCTGTCTGCCCTCTTGCACGGAATATCTGTGAGAAGTATGGACATGACTCCACTGAACTGAGCTCACTCTTGTTGGACACTGATAAAAGAATCTTAGTCAGAGTTAGATGGGAACATCAGTACCCATCTAGTGCAGCAAAGTATTGACCTTAAGCCACCAGGTGATTAGCCTAGCTCAGAATAAAGACAGGAATTAGAGAAAAAGCAAGCCTGGCTCAGTCCGAAAGTCCAAAAATGAATGCTATGCGAAGCTAAGCTAAGCTAAGCTAACCAACCCGCTGGCTTTAGCTTCATACTTAGTTCACAGATATTCGACTGGTTATCAGTTTTGTCACTTAGCTCGCAGGTCAATGTCTGTGATTTAAACATCAGATACCTAATATAAGCTGAACTCAAGCTGAAAAATGAAGTATGATCATGCGATAATCAAAGTACTAATAGTCTTCTGCCTTGTTTGTTGCTTTGCCTTGTTATCTATAAAGTTATTCCCCTTTGTAACATAAATACTTTGCAGCAGTTTCATCTGTGTGCGAGGTGTCAAAAGTGCAAGTAGGTGGGCGGAGGAGATGGGGAATGTCTTGAAATTTCATTGTTGCAAAATGGAGCAGTGGAGTGGAAAGTTTATGAAAAGCCAAAAATCTCACCACCTGGCAAAGTAATCACGGAGTCACTGGTTTTCAGCAAACCTCTGCACATACAGTATACTAAGGTCACTTTGTGCAGAGCGGCAGCACAAATCTAACTTCTTGCTTCTTTAATTTAAAAGTATTTCTCTAAAGTTTTGATACTTTGAGAAACACATTCATGCTTTTAGAGACTGCCGTTAACTCATTGATTGTCAGTCGGCTTTTCAAACCAGTCAGTCCATATCTAACTTTTGCTTAAAAGTCTTAATATCTTTAAACTTGTCTTTGAAGATTACTGAACCTGTAAATTGACTGTCTTTGCAAATGCAAGAATAAAATGTTAAAGGTACACTGATGATTTATGTAAAAAATCAAATTTAAGATTTGATTTCATATTCTGATGGTTTACCTGAATAAGTAATCACAGAAGTAAAAGTGGCTCACAAAATTAATCAGAACTTTCAAAAGATTTCAGACTATATTACATAACGTGGAATAAATTACATTCTCTCTTGCTATCCTCTGTCCCTGTTTTATCAAAGTGTACTTCCAATAATCGTCACAAGCAAGATATAAATATGCTGTGAAATTATTTTATGATCTTTTCAACTGATAGTTTGGGGTATGAAATTGATTCTGCCACTGGCACACTCAGTATGTGAACAGAGACAGAGAGGGTCTTAGAGGGAGAGATTTTTCCGTGGGATGACAGTTGCTGACAGACGCCGTTTGATGTTTATGTCCGAGACAGATGTTAAACATTAACAAGGACCTGGCACAAGGTTGGACACCATGTGGGACGATTCGCGGCTCTGCCAAGGCTCTCTGGAGCACAAAAATATAAACACACTTACACAGGGAGACATAAACACTGACCTACAGACAAACTGAGACATAGATCAAAACAGTCTTAGAGGCTTGCATGCAAGGACCAAACTGTCCGTCCAAAACTAAAGGAGACTTACAGACAACTTCCATCAGCTTTTAAAGGGACCTATTATGCTTTTCCTTATTTCCTGTCATATATATAATGTTACAATGTTGGATGTTCGTATTAAATGTGGCCGAAGTTTCAAATAATGAGGTATGCAAAAGTAATCACTGTGAGCAAAAACCTTAGACCTTTTCTAATGTTTTTTTCTACTTTAGGGACAAGCTGATGTCAGTTTGGATTGGATTTCATTATGGTCATCTGCTCCAGGCATGTTACTTCAAGTGTTTACACTATGTAATCACTGCTACATGTAGCTACATGTTAACATCAGGGAAACATGTAATCCTGGTTGCCATAGTTGTTAATTTCTCCCCAATTTCAGATCAAATTCATGTTGGGACATTTCCAGTTGAATTTAGAAGTTTTTATTGTTTATTTTGAGGCAAGAAAGTGCTGTTATACACGAGTATTCCCCAGCTGCAAGTACACTGCTACTTGCAGCTACATGCTAACGTCAGGGAAACATGAAATCTAGGTTGCAGATGTTAATTTCTCCCTGATTTCAGATCATATTCATGTTGGAACATTTCCGGTTGTGTTCAGAGGCTTTTCTGGTTGATTTTAAAGTGAGGAGATAACTCTATACACAGTCATTTCCCAGCTGTAAGTATACTGCTACATGTAGCTACATGCTAACATTAAGGAAAACATGTAATCTCGGTTGTCTATGTTGGATTAGGGTTAGTTTGAGTAGTTAGTTTTTTAACACAAATCTTTTTACAAAAGGGTTATTTAACAGTTATTTTTTGAAAAAGTATAATTTTAACATTCCCTGGCTGCGATGATGGACACTGAAATATGAATGACACTGAGTGGTATCACGACTGGGTGAATACAGATGTTCCAGCACAGACAGTATTAGGAAAATAAAGTGTTTTTTGAACATTGAACCATGAAAACATGTTCCAGTAGAAACACAAAATACAAGTATGAACCTGAAAACGATCATAACAGGTCCCCTTTATATGCATACTAAAATTGATTTACAGTTTTTCTTATGATGGTATTAACTGTGTTGAACTCCTGGAAAGAAGTTCATGTCTTTGCTCATTGCAGTCATCATTCAGTGTTTCTGCCTTTGAAGTTTAGAAGAGCACACACATCCACACACACGGACATACTGTAATATAGTTATATGTGTGCTGTCTCTGCTCCACCTGATCTCTTTTCCTTCCTCTCTGTTCTGTCTCGAACGAGGCGGAGGGGGAGGAGGGACGCTTTGATTTCCCTGACAGGCCTGTGTCTGCTTTTGTTTACTGTCTTCTCCGCCACTCGTGTCCTTTGGTGCAGAGAACAGGAAGTTTTAATAAGACACAGTTGTTCATTGTAGCATTTCCCCCTGATGTTAGATGTGATTCGTCTGAATGGAAAAAGGGAAGATAGTTTCCTGTTTAGTGGGTTGGTCCTATAAAAAGATGAAATAACATTACCCGATGTCGAATATAAACATGAATGATTGTTGTTTCTCCCTCAGATCTGTTCTTATGTTTGTCTGTGTCTGTTTTTAGACGTTGTGGAGACGGTCAGTTGCCCTGCAGCCACAGATTTTGTGTGTCACAGTGGCCACTGCATTGAGTCCCACCTGGTGTGTGACAACAAGGCAGACTGTGCTGATGAATCCGATGAGATAGACTGCGGTGAGTAGAAATAGGAAATAGGTTTCTTTGGAATTGGGAGTGAATTGGGAGAGCAGAAAAACAACTGTCAGCCCAGATTTATGGCTCCTTCCCTCCATCTTTCTCTCTCTCATAGAGCACATAGTCGGCTTGCCGGGCGCTTGTAATTTCAACAAGGATGAAAACCAGTGGGAAGACACCTGTCACCTTTCTCAGGACTCTGATGATGACTTTGATTGGAGGATTGGTCATCGGAGTGAGACACCTGGTGCTGGACCTCACACTGACCACAGTCCTGGTCAGTACCCGCTCTGCTGCCAACCCTATCTCTGTCTGTTTGAAACTTTTATATCACTGTGGTTTAGGTTTGGTTAGATTTAGGTTCAGACACAACTTGGTCAGGGAAACATTGTGGTTGGGGTTAAAATTACTATTTTGTTAAAGCTAGGGGACCTTCATCATCATGGTTACAGTAATAACCCCGTGGGCAATGTTAGGGAAGGACTCAGTTAAAGTCACAGTCAAAAACTAAAATGACTGTTAGGAAGTGGGAGACAAACTGCAGTCTCTCCTGGTGAAGTTGGACTTACAAAATATTTTTAAAAAAAGAAATGAAAATTAAATATAATGAAAACGTTATATTAAAAGATATAATAATGATGATAATAATAATAATAATAATAATAATAATAATAATAATAATAATAAGCTACAGTGGTTCCTGAACCTAAACCAAAGTGTTTTTTTCCCCTAAATTTAACTACATTACATGAATCTCCCTTCTGGTTTTAATTATAAGTGTCAGCTTTGGAAATATTTTTAATACATAGGTTTGTGAGTTTTTCTAATCTTTGACCTCCTCATCATGACAGAATGAGCTCCTGTCCTGTTTATGTTTCAAACTCCCAGCATGTGTTTGCTTTTTGTCTTGTTTTTCTAGTGAAAGATTAATAATACTGTCAAAAAAAAAATAAAAATCTCCAAATTAAGAACAAACAACTGCGTCCTCCTGACATCCTCCATGTTTTCAGCTCTCAGGCAGCTCAGTGCAGCGCCTTTCTAATTACAACCTGACAGCTGGGAAATAGGAGCTTCCGACAGGCATGTGAAGGCAGGGTTAATAATACATCCTGATCAATGTCAGCCTGAGTCAAACTGAGCTTAACAGCATCAGACTTGTTGTTTATCTTGTGTACAGTGACGCTGCTGTATCAAAACATGATTTTTGTTACTGATTAATTTGAAATTATTCCTGAAGTATGAATCACCACATTTGTGCTTAGGTTACACTTTCATTACACTATACAAGGCAGTGTGAACCCTTATTTCCACAGCCCAGTCGCCAGAATAAAATGTCAGCATTGTGTTTTTCTGCAAGCCACGGATATGCTACATTTGTGCGTTTCAGCCATATGACGTGGTTCAAATTACATGTATGTGAGCTGAGTTTCTCATTAGGAGGATGAGGGGATGATGTGACATCCAGACGAGACAGCTGCCAAGCTGCAGACAGCAGCAGACTGCTGTTTGAGACCAAGAAAAGCGGCTTGTAGCGATATGGCTGGTTTGTTTGGGACATTTCCTACTGTGTTTGTAGCAGTAAAGTGGGTCATTTTTTGAGTGTTCAGGACTTTTCCAGCCTTGTCAGTTGTGACAAAAGCAGGCATTTTTTAACCAGATATTGTGACGTTTCCAGCCATGTTTGTAGCAACAAAAATGGGTATTTTTTAACCAGAGTTTGATACTGAAAACCAGCTGTGTTTATGGCGACAAAAGTAAAAGTGGGTATTTTTAATCGAGAATTTGGGACATTGTCAGCCATGTTTGTTATGACAAAAGTGGGTACTTTTTCCCAAGAGTTGGGACTTTCAGCTATGTTATTGGCGATAAAAGTGGGCATTTTTTTATCTGATTTTGAGACTTAACCAGCCCGGAATGTGGCGACAAAAGCAGGTTATTTTTTTTTTTTTAAGATTATTTTTTGGGGGCTTTTTGCCTTTTATGGACAGGACAATATGTGAAATGGGGGGAGTGAGAGAGTGGGGAGTGACACGCAGCAAAGGGCCGCAGGCCGCAATCGAACCCGCTGCTGCTGCAGCGAGGCATTGCCTCTGTACATGGGGGGCCGGCACTATCCACTACTCTACCGACGCCCCCGAAAAAGCAGTTATTTTTTTACAAGAGTTTAGGACATTTCCAACCGTGTTTGTAGCAACAGAGATTGGTATTTTTTCAGTACTTTACCAGCTGTGTTTGTAGTGATAAAATAGGTATTTTTCAACGAGAATGTTTGTAGCAACAAAAGTGAGTCCTTTTTAATGAGAGTTTGGGAGTTTTTCAGCCATGTTAGCGGTGACAAAAATGGGTATTTTTTAACGAGATTTCGAGACTTAACTAGCCCTGAATGTGGCGACAAAAAAGGGTATTTTTTAACAAGAATTTGAGACATTTCAAGCCATGGATAGCCATAAAAGCAGGTATTTTTTAATGAGAGTGAGGATATGGTTACATACATTGCCAACATTTATTCTGGCGATTTGGTTACACTTCAATGTGACTTTGTAGTCTGCATTCATTAATAATTGTGCCGTACCTTGGCTGTCAGTATTTCTTCTGTTTGTTGATGCGGCTTCCTTTTCCTGGTACATGGGCCTTGAAAAATGACTCTTGATATTGAGAGGATGACCTTGATAAGCAAAAGATAGCAGCATGAAAATAATGAAAAACCTTATTACAGTTTTGTATAGCCCGGAGTTTATTTGAGGGGAAACTATGTGGCAGTGTACACTACAGTTTGTGTACTTTACAGAGAGAAAAGAAAGCAAAAGACAACAGCAGGTAATTCAGAGCTTGAAAGGTAGTGTTTAATTGTTGTTTGGTTGTACTGGCAGATGTGTTGTGCATCTCAGTGATCTTTTCCTCCAATATATTTGGAAGAGCAGTATTTTTTATTGTTAACAATGCACTCAGTGAACCAACAGATGCTAGTCTACAGTGTAGCGCTAATGCCTCATCATATTGGCTGTTGGTGAGTCCACACTCACGACTGATTGGTCAATTTAATTTATTGATCTGAGACATGAATCTGAAGACTGGGCACCGTGTCATAGAGTGAACTTATGATCTCACTACAGAGCAGATCAATAAACGAGGCCATCTGTAACACACACATGCTCATATGAGCTGAAGGCCAAGAGGTGCATATGCAGACATCACTTATTAGATTATATTTATGTCTGAACGACGGGGCATCATGTGTGTACACCGCATTTTTTTTTTTTTATCTGAATGAATGCGCAGACGTTGTTTTTATTCTTTGAGTCAGAGGACAAGAATCCAGTGTTGTGGGTTGGAGCAGGGTTTGCTGTGTGCTGTGGATTGTGATGGCCCTAAATCTCCTTTAACTCATGTGGAAAACTCCCACTTTGTTCCAGCCTCACACAGATGCCGTCTCATCTCCGAGCCTAGCTGAGCTGAAGAAGCTCTCTGCAGCTTTTGGCTGCAGGCTACAAAATTTCACGACAGCACAAATGCTTTCTTCTGTCCAAATATCATGTATATTGGAACCAACAGGAAAACGTTATTGGATTTCTTGCCCGCAGTAAAGCTGGAATTGAATGGTTGCAGCTTTGTCATTCATCACATTGAAATATTACTCAAACCCCACATAAATGTGAAGTGTTCTGCACTGTGTTTATCTCCAAAGGTGGTGGAGGGAATTTCCTGTACATACACTCAGCCACACAGAGGGAAGGCGACGTTGCCAAGGTGACAACCAGGAGTCCATTTCCAGCCAGTATCGGCCAGTGTCACCTGCGCTTCTGGTTCTACATGCACGGCTCAGACAGGATGGGAACGCTGAAGGTGATTAAATCTGAGCCACATTTCCATAAATAATCCAAAGTTTTTATGTGTTTGTTTGTGTCAGACATCCAGCTTCCAAACATGTTTTCTTTCCTTAATGTCATTTGCTGTAATGATCCGTCACAGTCAACCTGAAGGCTTAATTTGGTTTTGACAGAAATGTCTTTCATATTTTACTGCGCCTCTCGCTACATTACACTCTGCTTACTGTCAATCACCTAATACCCACAGGATGAAATGAAAATCTCCCTGCCAGGAAATAATCCATCAAAGCATGTCACCTCACAAACGTGATTATCATATCCATCTTTTCATGTCTGGTTTAGGTGTCTTTGTCAGCTAGGTTAATTTCAAGACAACAATAAGCACATTTTAATAAGAAGTCATTTGGTATGATGTGCACTGGAAAAATGCCCAAAACTAAATGTAACCATAAAGTAGATATTTACAAATGTGCTATAACTTATAATCTTATTATAATCTTATGTTAAAGAACAAATGCCCAAGACAGTTGCAATACTGTTTGAAGGATTTATTAATTTGTAAGAGCAGGCTCTGATATATGCTGTTCACTTACACTCCCATATATTACTTAAAGGGTAACTTAAGTATTGTTTTTGTGTCTACGTGACTAATGGGAACAACAAGTTTTGAAAGTGGTCCAGTATTGAGCGAGAGGGCTGCAGCAGGCAAATGCAGAGGAACAGGCTGCAATGTAACGTTAAAGGGCAATAGTGCACCATCAATGTACGTCCACTGAAAGTGCTTGTTTTTCCACTGACAGACTCAAATTGTTACTGTAAGTGTCAGACAACATTATGGATAAAATCCCTACAGAGATTGACTTTCTTTGTTTTGTTAAAGAGAAAGATCATTTTTGTTTAATGAGAACAGCTATCACCAAAATCATCAGACTCCATTTAAATAAACAGCAATTTTGTTATAGTAAAACACACTTCATTCAAAGTAGACAGAAACGAAATATTACTGAAGAAAGCAGTTGTGGTTTGTCTTTCCACTGTTCCATCAATCACCAACTCTGGTTTGGTTCAAATAACCCCTTAATTCACCCAGTTTGATGGGAAAATGGGCTGAATATGTACATGCTAAAATGACTGATTATTTAAATGGAGTCTGGCTGGTTTGGTGCTAGTCGTTTTGGGGCTGTTTTCTGGTTAAATAAAAAGCATCTTACTCTTTAAAAAAGGGTCTGTCTTTCTATAAGTTGTGAGAAACCTATATTAACAATCTGAGCCTGTCTGTGGCAAAAACAAGCACTTTTAGTGGACATAAATTGACAGCGTACAAATGCCCTGAGTGGTTACATCGCAGCCTGATTAGCAACTGCTGGCTCCAGCGCTTTCGCTCAATACTGGACCCAGTTTCAAAAATTGTTGTCTCCATTAGACACTTGAACACAAAAACATTGGAAATAAGGTCCAGGTTAAAAATACCAAAGTTACCCTTTAAAGAGTAGTTTGTGAAAACTGATATGACACAAATCCAAATCTAGTTTTTAAACTTCAAAAAAGAGCCATGTAATGTAAATTCATGGAGTAAGTAGATTTTAATGTCATTACTTGTGACTAAAATCTACCTTTATGTATAAAGTCAAAGAATCTAAAGTTGTTTTAAATGAGGGAAAAAACATTAAGATCAAAATGTATTTTAATTTTAAGTTTAATTTTATATACGAAAAATGAAACTGTAATCTTCAGTTTCATTTCGTGTCACCCAAAATATCTATTTTGGTTTTGCACCTCACCAGGTCTACACTGTTGGACCCAGTGGCACCAGTCTGCTGATGTGGGCCACCACTGGAAACCATGCTAACCACTGGACATACGCTAATGTCATCCTGTCCAACCCGGCACCTTTCAGAGTGACCTTCCAGGCAGAGGTGGGAGGAGACATGTGGACAGACATCGCTTTGGACGACATCTCCTACACTGCAGAGTGTATGGTAGAAGGTGAAGGTTTAATGATTTTATTTTTTCCTTTCTGTCTTTCGTCTCTTTTTGCTTTTCCATTCAGTTTCTTGTTTTCCTTGTCCTTTAGCACTGTGCTCATTTTTCAAGGTATTTACACCCTCTCCCGTTTCCTCTTCTTTCCACACTTTCCGTCCTCTTACATCCGTGCTCCTCTGCTTCGTTTCCATATAAATTGTGTGGACCCTTGGGGTGAGTGTAGTGAGTTAATGGAGCCTGTTGCCCTGTAGGTCCATATAAATTCACTGTGGGGACGGGGTCAGCGCCGAGGGATGGCACAGAGGGCAATGGGGGGGGGAAGCAATTACATTTATATTGTGTTGTGTCCTCACTCCCACCCTGCCGTTCTCCTTTTACCCCTGAACTGCTTCCTCAGTCGACTTTCTAAAGAAGACCTTTAACATACCTCTCTGTTTTTCCACCACTTTCTCTTTGGGTTTCAAAACAATCCTCTGAGATTTGTCATTGGAGAATGCTGTGTAAACTGAAATCCATGAATGGGGATTTAAGGCGTGCTCAGAGCTGTGCATGAATGTGTATTTATATGCATGTATCTTCTCTTTGAAACATCACTTCAGGACCAGTAACTCCCCAGCCTCTGACATGTGATGTGGACCAATACCAGTGTTTGTACGCCTATCAGTGTATCCCAGAGAGTTGGAGGTGTGACGGAGAGCTGGACTGTGCTGACCAGTCCGATGAAGAGTTTTGTCCCACTGTGGTACCTGGCACTCTTCCTCCTCAGGATCGTTGTCCTATTGGATATTACCAGTGTTCAGATGATCTCTGCCTCCCGTCCATACTGCGTTGTGATGGCGTCCCAGACTGTCCTCATGGAGAGGATGAGTACAGCTGCCGTGAGTATATGTGTGTCTTCGTCATGGTACCAGTAACCATGTAGTGCTGGGAAAAGAGAAAACGCCTCTCATCAATTATCAGCACTAGTTCAGTGCCTGTTTAAAACATGCTTGTTTGGAATGGACCGATTACTTGGCCTGGGTTACTGCTGCTCAAATGCATACTCCTTTTTTGTTTTGTTTTGTACAATTTGAGAGTGAAAAAAAGCAAAGGAGCATTATGCAAAGTTTGGACACCCCAAGACATCTGAGCTTTCAAACAACTTTTACCAGGGTCTCAAACCTTAATTGGCTTGTTAGCGCTATGACATGTTCACAGTCATCGTTAGGAAAGGCGAGGTGATGGAAATTTCAAAGCTTTATATATACTCTGACTCCTGAAACCTTGTCCCATTAATCAGCAGCCATGGGCTCCTCTAAACAGCTGCCTAGCACTCTGAAAACTAAAATAACTGATGACCACAAAACTTTCAGAGAGAGCTGCTTGTAGGATTGTTAGGAAGGCAAATCAAACCCCCGTCTGACTGCAAAAGACCTGCAGGAAGATTTATCAGACTCTAGAGTGGAGGTGCACTGTTCTACTGTGCAGTTACAGTAGACCAGTCCTGTGCACTGATGAAGTTAAAATAGAACTATCTGGATGCAATGAGCAAATGTATGTTTTTGGAGAAAAAGGGGTGCAGAATTTCATGAAAAGAACACCTGTCCAACTGTTAGGGAGCGATCACACAGAGATAAAACGCTAGAAACGTGACGCCAGTAAAACCATTGTTTTCCTATGATACAGCACGTCTGACCGGCGTTCAAGCATCTTTTTAAATGGCCGTTTTCCGGTGTCTTTTTAGACACGCATTTTTGTAGGCGCTGAAAAGTTTAAAAATGTCCAATTTTTTGAGCGTCAGACGCCAGTCACTAGTGCGCATTGAATAATCGCTTCCAGCGTTTCAAGCGTCTTTGAAGCTTCCGCGTCTGGAGCGTGTCATTTCTGTGTGATCACCATCTTAAACACAGGGTGGATCAATCATTCTTTGGGCTTGTGTTGCAGCCAGTGGCACATGGAACATTTCACAGGTAGAGGGAAGAATGGATTTAGTGGAATTCCAGCAAATTCTGGAAGCAAACATCACAGCATCTGTAAAAAAAAAAAAAAAAAAAGCTGAAGAGATGAAGATGAAGAGAGGATGGGTTCTACAACAGGACAATGATCACGAGGAGCAAGCTGAAGGTTTTGCCATGGCCCTCAAAGTCCCAAACCTAAACCTAAACATCCTTAAAAATCTGTGGATAGACCTCAAACAAATCCCCCATGCAAGAATTGAAAGACTCTTAGCTGGCTACAAAAAGCATTTAGAAACGGTGATACTTGCCAAAGGGGGCGCTGCTAAGCACTGACAGTGCAGGGTGCCCAAATTTTGCTTCAGGCCCTTTTACTTTTTTTTTTTTATTTTGAAACTGTAAAAGTTTGAAACTAAAAAGTAATCTTGCTTAAAATAATGATGAAATGTGTCATCATTGACTTTTTGCCTTTTGGAGATCAGTTCATCTTTCACTTGCTTAATTATTCACAGTAAACAGAACTTTGACCAGGGGGGCCCAAACTTTTGCGTGCCACTGTATCATTGGTCACATTGCAGATTCAAATTTTACTTGCAAAATATAACAATTAAAATATGACACATTATTTTTCATTAAACTATCTAGAATTATATAAGAATTAAAAACACCACCTTGAATAGATGTTGAATAAACATAAGTACTTTGCACTGATAGTGTCTCTCTTTCACTCTTCACTTGAAGTAAAAATTTCAATGCAGGATTTTGACTCTGCGGTGTAAACATTTTCTCTCTTAATGGTTAATAGTCTTACTTCAGAAAAAAAAGTTTTAAGTACTTCCTCTACCACTGCCAATAGCCTACCATCATCCCCAGTTAGAGAGTGGGTGAAAAGTAAAGCAGGATGTCCCTCAAATAACCAAATCCATCACTAAATCACACTCAAGTTGCGGCTACTCGCAGTTTGAAACATTGGTGAAACAGACTTAGCTGAGGTATTAATTTCAAAATAGGCATATTAATCCTGTGTTTTCACACAACCATTGCGGTTATAAAGTAGAGCATGGATTTAATTAGCTAAGGTATTTTGCCAGTGGTAATGTTCTTAGTGTCATAAGTATGTATGGCAAACTTACATAATGAATGTAGGTGAAGACATGCACGACTCTCTGCAGAGCCCTAAAGCCCTGCTTCTGCTGCTGCTGCTGCACACAGCCACTGAACTGTGCCATTGTTTATTTAAAGTTTATTAATATTGAAGGTGTTGCGTGGATGAATGGTTCTCGAGATATGTGAAGGACATACAGACAAAGATTCCTTGCTTTATAGTGAGATGACCACAGCCTTGCTTTTATTTTCATTTTTCAAATAAGCAGTTCGGTAGCAGTTTGTTTTTAAATGTGCTCTTTAAATAAATCAACTTAATGTCATCACTTCCCTGGTTGAGAGCAGCAAGTTTATGTTGTCTGGCAAGAGGACCATTTCTCTAGCCATGCAGGAACCAGTGTGGTTTCTTTGGAGGTAAAAGTGCTGTGAGCTATTGAGTAATTTGCAGCATGTGCACATAGGAAATGTAAATAAACAGTCTTTGTATGTAAAGGATCAGATGGTCAGTTCTGAGTAACATTTGTGGTACACTCATAATGATCTGTGAATACACCTTTCAAACACCCCTCTACATATTTGACAGATTTCCCTGTTTCTGCCTCTCATTTTTTCCACCAGCTCTGCTGCAGTGTGAGCTGGGAGAACTGGTGTGTGAAAGTTCGCCTGCTTGTATCCCACTTCAGAAGCGCTGTGATCACTCTGCAGACTGTCTGCCTTTTCACTCTGATGAATCCAGCTGTGATGGTAACATGTTCCTACATATCTCCCCCTTTAAAGTTTTTTGCCATTAAGCTGGGGTAGGCAGTTTTCTGTAAAAGGTAAAAAGGCCAGAATGTGAAAATACACCCTCTTCCTGCAGCTCTCCCCTCTCTGTCCTAAGCCCTCCCACCAGATGAGCACTGTCATGATTGTGAAACCGATGCTGTTATAGCCACAATGACGTCATTTCATTAGCTGGAGGCAAAACATGACCTGCCACCACAAGGCAGTAGGCTACATAGGAGTCTTAAAATGTTGTCTTGTTGTGTTATTGGGAGCCAGAATAGAAGGAGTCATGGCTCAAAACTTAAATTTTATCACATACCAGCTGCCACTGCCCGTCAACAAAAACCAAGACAACTATGTTTAAATGTGATAAGACGAAAGGACTGGATGGAGGCGATCATCAAAAATGCTTGTATGTGCAGCGCACACTTCATATCAGGTTAGGGAAATGTATTTGCTGTTATAGGGATGAATAACGTTATGTGTATTAAGGGTTATCATGTCCACCTCATCAGAAATTGTTGAGGTATTAAGAGGAATATTGGATTTCTAACGCTAACTTTTTAGCACATTAGCTAATGTTAGCTTTGATAGTAAAACAAACTGGAGGAAACTGTTTTAGTGTTGTCCTCCTTTGTAAGATTGACATAGTAATCAACCACAAAGCTTCCTGTGACATCATCCATCCACTGAGTGAGAGCATACGGGTCGGCCAGTCTGGTCCCGTTGGTCAGTGTTTACTTTTTCAAGTAACACTCACGATACCGGAGAGTGAATGACTTGACATAGTTGTGTTCTGAAATTCAATCTGACGCTTTACACTAAAATGAGAGCCCTGATGGTCAAAGAAACGGAGCGTTATACTCCTACATGAATTAACAAAGGTTAAGTTGATCACACATTCACTCCGCTGGGCGCTCTGCTGCTCCATCTCCCCAGACAGAGTGCCTAGAGTGCTCTCTGCCACTCTGAGAGTGCGGTGCTCTGAATAACTAAACAGTACATTCAGACAGCACTCCAAATTTACAGATGGTCCAGTTTGTGCCAGAGTGCGCTCTGGGACTTGAAATGAGTATCTCTGAATGCACCACTCGCATCATCTTCCTCCATTGTCTCAACAGAACTTAATAGCTAGCGCTAGCTAATATCTGTGGAGAGTTGATCTGCCTCCAGTTAAGCCCCGCCTACCATAAACATCACACTGTGTACTAACAGTAAAAGGGTCTATACAGCAGCACCTCTATGAGAATTACCTTCTTGCATTCTTTGCAAACTCGTTGGCCTGTAAAGCCCTTTAAGATGACACAGTGATTCGAGGCTCAAGCTAGCTATATAACCATGAACTTGAATTTACCTCCGCTGTAAGTCTTTGGGTCTAGTTAGCAGAAGGCTAAACTATAAGCAGCATTTTCACTGGTCCTCTGAAATACTTTGCCAATATTGACCTGTCTTTTACTTTGTTTATTGTCAGACTCTCTATGAGATTCCTTTTTTTGATAAACTCGTCTTCCTATGCAGTGTTGGCAGTTGTTGCTAATGCTGGAGGGGCAACTTTTTTTCACTGCATCATACTTTCACCTTCTAAAGGGACATGTACACGCATCTGCATTCGTAGATCAGCCAACAGAAACACCCTGTCTCAGTGTCTAGCCCATTTCCTGTCATGGGCTAGATCTCCAAAGTCTGAAAACAGAGCCAAGAGGACGTGCAGAAGTCTAGTGTTCTCTCAGACCACTTCAGATTTTACTGTGGGATTTTTGCCCAATGATGCCAAGAACTGCAAGCCCCAGCTGTCACGTGGTTCATTTTATGATTCCTGGACCTTGAAGCTCAGACACGTCACAAGAGACTCACTGGTTTTAGAGATGATGTCCTTGATGTCCATCTGTGCGTTTCACCTTTGCTCATATAGTTTATGTAGTTTCCACTGTATTTTCCTTTAAATGCTGTGATGTATTGTGACATTTAGTTTAAATATGGCTCTTCCTGACAGCAAAGATGTCTTCAAGCTGGGTGACTCCCTGACTTTCCCCAATCTGCTGATTTGCAAAAATCAAGATTATTAAAAATGCACAGATTTACCTGTTAAATTTAAGGCATACCTTTCGTCTTTTCTCTGTATCATGCTCTCATGAGTCACCAGTCAGTTTTGACTCAAGTGTTGCCAAAACTTAGTTCATGTCTGCTCATTTCAGGCCTTAGCATTGACTCTCGGGATATTTTCAAGTCTGGCTGTTTAGTCTTCAAAGCACACCTCAACGGTTACTGCAAGCTGCCAAAATCCATTAAAACCTCTGCCTTCCTGCGTTTTCAGGAATAAGACCAAACCTCACATTTAGCCTGCATTCACTGCCAAGCCAAAGCTACTTTATCAAGGCTGAACAGCACTTCAGGGTTTCAGACATGAGTTTTATTTAAAGGCAACACTGATAACCCCCACACAACCTGTGGAGGGAGGAATATGCCGCATCAGATATAAAGGTTAGAATAAGAAAGAAGCTGGTTTAATGTACATGGTGACACTCTGCAGAGGTCAATGGATGATGCTTAACAGTGCACCGTTTCCCCTGGCAGCATAATTCACTGATTCATGTTTTGATGTCAAAGCAACATGTTTTCTGTCAGGAGAGGAGACATGGATGACAGCTGATGACGGCGAAAGAACACAGAGGAAAAGCTTTGAAGATTTTATTTTTTGCCATGATCTTTAACAGTGACAGTAAGTTTCTTTCATGTGATTTGCAGTTTGTCCTCAACTGTATTGCCTGGATCATGGCTCATGCCATGTGGGGAAACACGGGCCCGTTTGCATGTAAGTTGAACTTCACCCTCACACGGATAAACACACACACATAGCCACACACTCTGTCACACTCATGAACACGCACAAACAAAGATAAGTATCATGTCTTTTCTCTCCTCCTCCCATCCTTTATCTCTCTTTGTGAGATTTAAAACATGGAAATCCCATCAGTCTTGTTTCTTTCCTTGGAAAAGACACGCTCCACGAAGCATGTGGGAATCTGCTTACCCCCTACAGCTTAACCAGGGTGGTTCTGCCTTCATTTATCCACCAGCACAGTGTTTCCTGGGAATCTCTGATGGATTCGCCTGGTCAATATTTAAACACGGCCCCCGCTACCAATGGTCTTAGTGGGTAGACCACAAAAGAAAACTCCAGACAGACACTGCGATCACTCTGTTGAAGGATTTTTAGGCAGCTTATGAATCTAGTCGTCTGCATCAGCACTTTGGAATGTATGCAATGAGATAATTCATTATAGAAGTAAAAATGCAATTATGAGACTTTCTGCTGGATCTGCTAACATCATTATTCACCACTGAATCGTCTCCAAAAGATCCGCGTTTCTCCATCTTCATGTCAGAAGGTTGCTTTTTCCACAGAGTGGATGCGAATTTTGCAGCAATTCACATAACAAACTGCGCACTGTGTCGACAGTGCAATCAGTGTGTTGTGTTATTGGAAATGCAATCCCACTGACAATGCTGGAATAAGGAAACACTTTTAAAGACCAGCTGAAATTGAATTGTGTGTTTTTTCTTCTTTAGCAATCATGACCTGCACTCCTGTTTGAGAAAAAATTACCAAAGGCGAGAATGTACACTCCATAGTTATTTGGCTGTCTATACAGCTAATCAACACATCACCTCCTTGATTTCCTGCAATTTAGCTTCAACATGTGACACGGAGGTTAGCATTGTCACCTCATAGCAAGAGGGTTCCTTGGGTGGGGGAGCCCTTCTGTGTGGACTTTGCATTTTCTCCAAGCACTCCGGCTTCCTCCCACAGTCCAATGAAATGTATTTCAGGTTAACTGGTGACTCTAAATTGTCCGTAGGTGTGAATGTGAGCGTGAATGGTTGTCTGTCTCTATGTGTCAGCCCTGTCTGGCAACCTGTCCAGGGTGTACGACGCCCCTTGCGACCCCCAACAGGATAAGTGGTTACGGAAATGAATGAATGAGAAGCGAAGTTGCTCTACTTATATCAGGTGAATAGTCAATTAGCTGCTCAGCTGCAGCACATTAAACAGCATGTAAACATACCTGCCAAAATCACTTTGGTCAGTTAGATGCTGGCATGGGTCTTACTTGTCAATACAACAGCTAACAACACACTTGCTACATCTGAAACAGCATACTGTCCACTACATACCCAATATATGCATCATTCAACACACTTTTGTGTTAATAAACAGTAGTGTGTATGTTTTCAGACGCATTGCGCTGTAATTACTACGTCACTTCCTGAGAGACTCCTTGCCAGTTGGAGACATATAACTATGGTAACCCATGCCAACCTATGTAATGTAATGCATGCAAGGTGTAAAGGGAATCTTAGTCGCTGTCCGTTATGCCAGCATAGTGTGCAGTGTTACTATAATATTTCACTACAACGTGTTTACAATTCACATACTTTTGGTTTCATTCTCAGGTTTCAGACATACTGAAAAATCTCACACGCTGTTTTAGCGCACTAACTACCATATTAGTATGGAATTTCAGACGCAGCCACTGTCTGCCCGTGGCTTGTAAGCTACAAGTTTGTTTACTCTGTCTCTTATTTCTGTGCCGCCGCAGCTGTCAATCAGACAGTGACATTTGTGTCTGAATGCAGAAAGGTGGACTGGTGATTTCAGCTGGACTTTAAAAGTTGTGTCTCTGCAACATGAAGATATTTTTCTGCTCCCTCGCTCTCATTGTCCCATTTAGCCTCCTTCTGTTTGATTCCCCTTTTTATCCATCCCACTGTCCGACATTCCCCACTGCAGGGCCGCCACCACTGCCTCCTCTCATTATGTAACGGGACTTTACCGCTGTCAGTCACTGCACAGTGTGGTATGGAGCCCCTGTAGCTGTTCCAGCATTGATAACAGCCCTGCTGTAGCAGAACCCGAGGCCAGCATTGGAGGGCACCTCTGGCTCAGTATTTGCATCACGTTCCCCCAATCTGCTGAGCAGGATCCACCTGGGAACCAAGCCAGGGACGTCCCACTGCCATGGCCAGACCGTCACACAATATGTACCCTGAACCCCTCTGAATGATAATGACACAGTCTGGCTTCGCTGAGAGCTGTGTGTTTCGCATTAGAAGCTCAGTGTTGCGCAGAAATCAGGCTGATACTGAACAGATGTTGACTTGGAGTAGAGTCTTCATTTGGGAGAAGAGGAACTTAGTTTCTTTCCCAGAGATGCAGCTCACCAGACGGGCCAGACTATTTGCTGTTAGTGTGTGTTTCCATGCAGGATGTCCAGCAGATAAATCTTGCACCATTTGTCAAGATAGCGTTTGTTTTGCTTTTTAAAAGGTGTGAGAGAATACGTGTGCATGTGTACTGGATAATAACGATTGTGATTTATGTTCTTTATCTATTTTAGTATTTTATTCTGCTTCGCTTTTATTGTTTTACTCACATTTAAGATAAGGGTAAGGTCAGTTTTACTCTACATTTTTCTTATTGTCAACAAATCCCATTAAAAGATCAAAACCAACAGTACATCAGTAAAATGATTTCCAACCAGGGGCACCCAGAGAGCACCGCAGGAGTTACGCGAGAAGCTTATGAAGTAGCTCAGCTCATTTAAAAGAAACAGAGGTTATTATTTGGATAAAAAAAAAACTACAGACGTAACCACATATTTATGGGGAATTAATACGATTTTATTGATACCAATGCCATTAGCGATTCAGCTTTTCTGTGCGTGGGTAAAAAAAGAAGGCTTATACACATTTTCAATGTCAACACAACTTTTATTATTTCATAAAGAAAAATCTGCTTAGTCTGCCTGTGTTGGGTTAATGTTACTATAATACAATACTCTCCTTAGATGTGCTGCTTGATTGGAAAGCAGTGGTGTTCGTGCAACGTCAAATACATGACATTCCTGAAATTTAAGCCCTTGTTGCCAAAAAAGAGGTTTTAGCATATTGTTGGTGTTTCCATCCATATTTGCTACACCCCTATTATTTTACAGGCATTACAAGCAGCACCATTGTAATCTTTATTTTTGTGAAATGAAGCCACACTTTGGACTGTTCTTCCTCTCCACTTTGACTCCTTTCGTTTCCAGAGTTTGACATCATTGTTTTGCAATCCACATCTGTCATGTCACATGCTGGCATCTATAAAGGGAACTGATAACCTCAGAAGCACATGATTTTGATGAATCTGACAATTTGGAAGCTGGTTCTCAACTGCAAACAGTTTTAGATTCCCATCCCTACGTGTTTATTATGTCTTTTTCACAGAACATCATGCGATGTAATTCATGCTGTGTTCACACTACAAATGACACAGCAACAGCAAGACAAGCTACACTGTCAGTCGCCCTTGAAGTGTTGCACAAATGCTCGTTGACGTAATTGCGTCGTCTTGGGCTTGTGTGTGTCTGCTACTTGCTACAAAGCACCTCAAATGGACATCATCTAAAATTTGTGCTTTTGATCAATATCTGAGCCTCATTTTAAAATCACATTTCACCGCCTCATTGCATCCCTGTGTGCACCACGATACACAAAAAGCTAGCATAGCATCAGCTAAATACACTTAATGTTTCTGTACCACAGCTAGAAACAAAGAGATGTGATTGGGTGAAGCTTAACTGCATCATTGGAGCACTAAGAAGTTGAGGCCAGCACAAATATGATTTGTAGCATGTCACACCTGACCGCAGCCACAAGTGTCAGCTGTCAGTTTTGAAGCTTTACGTCCATGGCTTGCATTGAAAATGATTTGTAGCATGTTGCTGTGTGCTCATAGTGTGAACACAGCAGTAGAGTGTGTGAAAAGGGGAGAGCAAAGAGCCCAGTTAGCTAAAAATAGTGGATGAATGATGAAATAGCTAAAAGTTATGGGCCAGCTTCTGCCAATCCAAATTGGTAGAAGGAATGTAAACTTTACCTAACCTACTTTAAGAAAGACTTAATAACTTGCATGAAAGGTGACACACTAGGCTTGATTGATTCCTCCATTAGGACATTTTGATCTATGTGTCCTTGCATCAGCGTCATAACTTTGTACTATTTCTTGGTACCTGATTGCAGGTGTCATCCAGGATGGACAGGTAACCGCTGCCATGTGAAGGAGAAACCATCTCCCACCACTGCGACACCCAAACCTGAGGACACACAGCTGGGTAGTTAAGAAATGCTCCTCCCCGCTCTATTAAACTGTCCCACCTTAATTTATATACTGTATCCTTGCATACCCAGCTAATGTCTGCAGTTTATTAAAACGTTCTCTTCAATGTACCTCCCTCTTGTTTAGACGCTGTGTATGTTGGCATCGCCATCGGGCTGCTTCTGCTTGTGGCTGGAGTGGCTGTCTGCACTCTGGCTTTCTGCAAGAAAAAATGCTTCTTAATGTGAGTTTTGGCTACAATTACGACTGCATTTTGCTGGTGATGATGTTAATGATAAGTGCGTTTTTATTTGCTGGCTCCACAGAAAGCCTGACTCGATGGACTACGGAGTGATGGATAACCCAGCCTTTGACTGGAGACCAGAGGTTAGCGCACAGAAATGTCCAATCAATCATCAGCAAATTATGTTCGGGCAACATTTGGTTTCTCAGCAATACAAATCTCATTTTTCTACCATTCGCCGCACATTAATTCAATAAGTGGAGCTTACATTTGTGGAGGTCAGACGGTGATCGCTGAGCCTTTCTGCTAGATCACATTTTTGATTTAGGATTATTGATTTTTTTGGTTTATGTGGATATTTAGGCTTCTGTGTGTGACTTATACACACACACTGTGGTGCATATACAGCAGACAGACACAATGACTGAACCATATAATCTGATCATATCCAACGCCACCAGCTGAACACTAAAAATAACCAGTTTAATTAACAGCTTTCTGATAGTCTTACAAAGGTGTAACGTGATAAGAGGCTTTAGAAGTTCCGAGGCTTCCTGACTGGATTATATGACACAGATGCAGTAGTGGAAGAAGTTCTTGCATCCTTAATCTTACTGAAAGTACTAGTACAACTGTATAACAAGACTTAATTGCCAGTAAAACTCCTGCATTCAAAGTAAAGGTATAAAAGTACAGTATTATCAGCAAACTTTACTTAAACTATTTGAAAAAAGTACTCGTTCTGCAGAATAATGTCCCTTGTGACTGATATATTATTATAAATTATAATATTAGATTGTTAATGTTGATGGATTGGAATGGCTCAGGTCTCCTCCAAAGGGTCACATGATAGATCTGAGGGTACCTGAGATGATTATTGATGAGCGGAAAGTGTCCCCATGGGTCCTTAAAATCATTGCAAGTTTGTGGACTGGAGGGAAGAATATCAAGGCCTTGAAAGATCATTGAAAGACACTCACAGTTGTGTTCTTGTTTCATGCGCCACCTTCTTCGAGAAAATTTGTGAATGAATGATTTAAGTCAAATGATGCAGGTTAGACAGCAGCAAGCAGGCGAGAAAGCTAACATTAACGCCATGTTTACACTGAACAAGGAAGTGCACCCAAAATGTTTCGTCACCTGGCCATTCACACCAGAAGCACTTCTCTTGGCGCCGCTCAGCAAACGATTTTGCTTCTCTGCTCTTTTCCAATTAAACAAAGAACTCTCTCGCTCTCTGTTTAGACACAACTGACAAATATGTGGAAGCATAAGGTGCATATTTTATCATTTATCAGGATCAGATCATTTATATCATGTTGTATATATTTCTTATATCACTCATAAGAGATTATCAGTGTGGTTTTTTTTTGCTTGCGGCTCATTGAAAAAATAAACCAGATACAGAAATGAGTGCTGCAGACCGTGAGTCGGCTGCAAAGTTTACGACTGAGTTGTGTCCATTATGAACAGCCCTACTGGTTGCAAATTTGCGAATCCTAGGATAGCAAAGGAGTGGCCTGTCCTACGCTCCCTATGATTGGCTAGTACTTGTACCCTTTGTTTGTTGAATTGGTTAGGTTTAGGCAAGAGGAAAGGGATTGGATAGGGTAAGAATGTCAGGATAAGCCAATCAGAGGCAAAGTAAGGCAGGTCATTCCTTCTCTATCCTAGGACCACTGGTTAACATGGGCACTGAAAGAATGATGGGCTAGTAGTGTGTAGTTGCAGTAGCTTCTGTGTCTAATGTGAACCCAACATAAGTGAACCTTAAGCTATGCCTGGAAAATGTAAATTACAGGACTCGTGGCTCACCAAAGACATTTACTAATGTTTAAAAAAGTCTCTGTGTCTATCTCTGAACATACACAGTATATTATATTGTTTTGCTGTGCTGTGTTAGAGAGGGCAAGAGACAATATTTAAAATACAAAAGTAATGCACCTCAAGAATTATAATGAGGCGCTGATCACTGGCAGTAGACTTGATTGTAGAAAACAAGTGTCACACACCCTGGCTCCTTATTATTTCTTTTATTTTGATGACATTTCAGCCTTTGGGCCTACTTCAAGATCAACCAACATGCAATCAAGAGAGGGCAAGAGATCACACAGTCTGCAATCACTGTGACACAGCACAATTAAGAAGTGTTCACACATGCAAGCCTCCCTCTCTTTTTAATTGTTGTCTGAGAGCTTCTGTAGAGCCTGCTAGTTCTCATAAAAATCTCAGTGTTGTAGTAGTAATTAACTTTGATCCATGTCTCAAACTACGCTGTTCTTGAGAAGTCCTTGAATATGATGTTTATGTTGGCTGAAAACATTCTTTGTTGCTGAACTCACTTGAAACACGTCCAATCTCTGTGGACTTTTGCTGTTCACTATTTGGTGCTTCTGGCTCAACTGGCCAGAAGCACAAAAGGATTGACCCTGTGTAACCAAATAAAAGTTCATGTTACAATTTACCCTGTATTAGGTTGTGCCCTGCACTCCCCTACCCCTATTAACTACAGCATATAATATTTAGTGGAGTAAAAAATGCAGCATTTCCCTTTGAATTTTCTTGGACTAGAACTATAAAGCACCATTAATTAAAAATATTAATGTAAAGTAAAAGTTTCTCAAAATTAAACTTAAGTACACTACTTGAGTAAATGTAGTTAGTGTCCATCATATCACAGGTGTAGCTGTGATTGTGTCCACCCGTTGAATGCTTTGTGTCTCTTCCTGCTGTCACTGAAAAGATCCCATCACTGGAGACGATGCAATCACAGCGACTCCTTTGGATAATGGCTCTCGTGTGTGTGCGTTTAAGAGTGTGTGTGTGTGTGTGTGTGTGTGTGTGTGATGCTAAACTTCATGTGGGTGTGCAGCGAGTGTCATATAGTTATCCACATGAGAGTGATATTGAGAGCCACACGTCATGACTCTGATGGTGGAGATTATAATAGATGTAATGGTGCTGTGTGTGAGAGTGTGTGTGTGTGTGTATGTGTGTGTGTGTGTGTGTGTGTGTGTGTGTGTGTGTGATGCAGTAGCCTCATGATAATGTTCATATTATCTTCAGAGATAACAACACGCATAATATTTCCTCTGCAGATTACACTCCCATTATATATGATGCATACAAACATCACATAATAATGTGTTTCAGTATATTCTATATGTGGGTATGTCTGTACATGCTTGTTTTCATGTGGCTGCCAATGAGGACGCAGCTATAAATAGAGAGGTGTAGGTGTGAACTAGTATCTCTAAAACACAGACGGATCTGCTTCAGCACTTGTTTAACGGAGCAGTGGCAACACTGCGTGATCATTCCACCTCTGGAAGATGATGAAATGGTTTATAGAGGTTAGAGGTGTAATTATGGACGCATAATGGGTCAATTTGCTTTTAATTGCGCCTGCATTTCATGCGCTCTCGCACATTAAGGCTCATCTCATTTTAAGCCAGTGTACATGATTGTCTTTCCCACAGCTCCTGTCCTTGCATGAGAGGCCAGGCTGTTGTCCTGGAGTTAACCCCAGCAGGAGTGATGGTCTGGGGCTTTCCATCAGTGTCTACCCCTGGAGGAGGGAGGTGGAGGTAAGGTGTCTCTGCTCAGCCTTTTGGGCTTTACCCCAATTATCTGTGCAGAAGTCAGTGACGTGATGTACTGTATGTCTCTTTGTGTCCACGGCAGGGTTCGTCCTGGAAAGATGCCAAGCTGTCCTTCGCCAACCCGCTGTACAATTACCCCCCTGATGCTAATAGCGCTGACTACAAAAGCTCTGAAGCATAAAGACAATGGACTTTATATATTGACACTGCAGTAGATCTGGGTCAAACAGTGTGTGCTCATACTTGATGAGGTTGTCTCGACCTGCTGAGGTGCCAAGTGGTGGTGGGGAGGGACAGATTGCAATGAGTGGAAAAAAGTTTGGTAAATTTGCATGAAGGAATTTTAATGTCAGTTCTGATACACTGCTTCCAACGATGTGACCCCCACACATCTGGCACTATGTGTAAAAATAAAAGCTAAAAGTTCTGCACACTAACTCGAGTGTTGAGTTTAAGACTTTAACAAATTGTGTCCATATAAATACCAATAAATATAGTTTTAAAAACACTTAAAGAGGTGAATAGTGATGCAGATTTGTCTGCAGGTGCTGTGCACTTTAAAACTCTCCTCGATAACTGCAATGCAGGTTTTATAGAGGTAAAACCTTGAAGAAATAGTTCACATTTTTATAGCTAACACTATCACATCTGTACAGTAAATATGAAGCTACAGCCACAAGTCAGTTAGCTTAGCCTTAGAAATCTTGTGTGTTTAATCTGTACGAAAACCTAAGTGTTAAACGGTGCTATATCATTGTTCCGATGGCCCAAAATTCTGAAGCCTCATTAGGCCAAAAGAAGTCCCACTGGACCAAAAGCCCATATTTTGGACAGCCCGTTACCCCAAAAACAAACGCCAATCCCGTTTCTCTGAAAACACACGCTCCCCGCAGCTCGTGTCAGTTTCCTGGTAACGCTTGAGCCACCTTTCCGAGATGTTTTTTCCGACCCTTTGCGCCGTTTCAGCCACGAACCCTGGTGTTTTTCATTGACCACTGCCTGCTTCTCCGGCAACTTCTGTGCCACCAAACGTGGGTGTTTCAAGCCAAATCATTGTGTTTCCTCAACATAACCAAGTGGTTTTCGTGCCTAAACTTAATCACACCCTCACCACAGCCTTGACAAATGCAACAATGCGAACATTTTTTCTGGTGATTGGGTTGACTAACAGCAGAGAGTGTGTAATTCCAGAGAAATGGGGCGAACAGTGTTTTTGGAGCAATGGATGTTGTTTCGGGGATAACGGGCTGTCAGAGAAATGGACCGTCGCTCCAATGGGACAGTTTTTGGACTAAAGGGTCGTAGGAATTTTGGACCATTAAGACAATGTGCAGTCCCCGTAAAAACAAGTTTCATTTCTCGGCCAGAGGCAGTAACTTGCTGTTTCCCAGTTTTTCCAGTGTCTCCAGTCTTTATGTTAAGCTAAGCTAATCAGATACAAGCCAGAACTGTATACATTACAGACATTTATGATTTCATGTCTCGAACTTTTCATCTACTTCTTGTCATGAGAGAGAATAAGCCATGTCAGACTTTTACTTTAAATAGTCAAAGATATTGGGGAGACAGTAAATTAACTTTCCCCTTTCTCAGAAGAATTTTTAATATTTAGCAGTAAACAAGTCAAAATGGGCATTAGAACAAATTAAAAAAGAAAGTTTGGGCCATTTTGTACACTTAATAGAGCCAGTGTAGCAGTTTGTCAGTCCTCTAACTTGGAATGGTTGTAAGTGCCTTGTGCATGGTGATTAAAGGTTTTCTTTAGTGCTGGCAAAAGCAGAAAACATCCAGTTCATTGCAACTGAAAGAGTCCACTGAACACACAGAGCTTCCAAATGGAGTCCTGACTTCATTAGCGATCCTTTTCAATCCCCACAAGTGCAAATAAAATAGTTTGCCCCTGTTTTATTTCCAAATTAAAATCCATTACAAGTCAGCGTCCTGGAGCTGCTTTGTATGTGGTGTGAACTGACTCTCAAAGTCTCTGTATCAACCAGCGCTGAGCAGATGGATCATAAAAAGCACAGTTAAACCAGTCTGTTATAAATTTGACGAGTGTTAAGTCATGGCTCTTCTCAGCTGTGTCCCATCAGACGTGCCATCATTAATGGCCTTCTCATATTTGACACTCGACCTGATGATTTCAACAAGTTTAGGCAATGTTCTAAATGGTTAGATATGTTAAAGGGACAGTTCAACCCAAAATCAAAGATACATATTTGCGCACAGCTGTGCTATGTGGTTTGTTTACATAAGCACACAGCTGTCAGTGGTTTGTTTACATGACCTTACAGAAGTGCAGGTTTAATGGATTTGATTTGGACAGAGAGATGCTTGCCTGCTGTTAGACATGGTCATGACATCACCTACATATTCTCAGTAGGAAATATTTTACCGGACACTATGACCGGAGTGATTTAAATATGTTGGACAGATAAAGGAAAGCCTGAGCACAGCAGCGCAAGAGGGACAAAGACAAGGGAAGAGAAGGTGGAAGGTAAACGATTGCACAACTTAGTCAGTACGCTGCTGTTAAGTGATGACCTGCCTGTCTGAAACCTGCGATATTTTCTAACAAGCTTAACCGACCCACGGGTTAACCCTCGCATCACTAGCAGATGGACAATAGTTCCTATATGAAGCTGCTCATAACAAGGTCTGTGGATTACCTTGAGTAACCAGGTCATGATTTCTGGAAAGAGACATTGCTGTTACAGTTTGGTGCTTTGTCCCCACAAGCCGAGTGTCATCTAGTTCCATTATATTCAAAAGAAGGCAGACATCTCTCATCTCAGCAGCTCACATCAAAACCTCCTGGACTGATAAATAGCACTATAGGTAGGAGGCAAATTATCTATTTTTGACTTGAGGTGCACTGTCCCTTTAAATAGAGCATCAGTTCACATCGGCAGCTTCCTCTCAGCCTCAACAAAAGTACTGATAATATTTCAGGTTAAGATTAATTTGACGGAATGGTACAACACTCCAGGAAATACGCATATTAATTTTCTTGCCAAGCTTTAGATTAGAGGATTGATACTACTCGTGTATCTATTTGTTACATATGAAGCTAAACAGCCCGCAGCCACTTAGCTTAGCATAAAAACTGGAAACAGAGGGAAAGAGCTAGCCTGACTCTGTCCAAAGAAAACTTTTTATTTTTCCAAACAGTCACAAGAGTGGTATCGATCTTCTCATCTAATTCTTGGCAGAAAGCGAATAAATGCATTTCTCAAAAAGTCTAACCATTCCTTCAAAATCATGTCAGGGCAATACAATTATAGGATGTTGCTGCATAAATAATGTCTTCAATATTTCATCTTCTGTTGTTATTCCTAATTGGATTTTTAAGACATTTTGCTTTGTCAACGTAATACGCTGATATCTTAGACTATGTGTACTGAATTCTAATGAAACCAGTACAAACTTGATGTGATTAACATTTTATCCCGAACAATGAACCCAACACTGCAAAGGACGTCTGCAAACTGAAAGCTCCAAATAAATAGTTCATTTCTCTTTTCTTTAAAGGCTTCAAAAGAAAAGAGAAACTATTTATTCGTAGCCTATGGTGTGCAGACTGTCTGTGTGACCTGCAGTGAAGTGTTCTTGAGTATTTTCGCCTGGATGTGCACACACTTGGTCCCTCTTCCCAATATTACAATACCCAATACTAACTTTGTTTCATTTTTTCCACCTCTATATTCCAATATTTATAAAAACAAAAAGTACTGAGCACTAAAAACCAGGGCTTGCAGAACTACTGAGACATTTGCAATCAACTTACCCTTAATTATTCACAAGGTCCTTTTCACAGAAGACTTTCTGACATGTCACAGTAGTAAAAGCACAGGCGTAAACAATAAAGTTAATGATAGCTGGACTAGAAAGGAGACTTGGTTATTGGTAGTAGTACCACCTGTGCTTTGCCTATTAAGATACGTAACTTCAAAATGACTGCTGTGAAAAAGACTTATGGGATTACTGATGTCTTATTAAATATCTATAGCTTGTCATATTCTATAATTGGGAACAGATACATGGTTGTTTTTCTGTTTTTGGCCTCTTTTTAATATGGTGGTACTCCTATCTTTTATAGGTTGGTCAAGTCTCCATCCCATTAATAATAAATGTCAGGTAAGCCTGTTGTTTCACGTGGGTGCTCTGAGAGCACTGCACTTAGTCAGAAACACATCAAAACACACTCCCATTCCTTCACATAGGTTCAAGTTCAACTTATGAATCTTTAATTCCTAGACTGTGGATGAACACAATCTCCAGTGTCGTTACTGTTTAGTCTCGTTCTCCATCACTGCGGAGTCTTTGCTGAGTCTGTAGGTGGATTCTGGGTCAGAGATTTATCAAAGGGCCACAGGATCAATTTCAGCCTTTGAGCTGCTCCACTGTTTTATTGTTTGTGCCCTTGCCTTATAGTGGCTCACTGCCTTTTGCTCTGACACACCATTCTGCCCTACAAAGCCAAAAAGCAGAAACAACACGTCGGGGAAGAACTGTGTTTGGGCTTGAGTCTGACTTTTTGGCAAAAAAATAGTAAATCCCTGTGCACAGCGGCGCAGTGCTTCTTCTAGGTGCCAATGACGCAACAAGCGAAATGTGTTGTTCGCTCCTTTTGTTGTTAAATATTTTTGAATAAACTTTGTGTCAATCCTGATATTCTAGTGTGCGCTGGAAGTTTTTGAACTCTTGACTCTGACTTTTTGGCATTTGTTTTAACATACAGTACAGGCCAAAAGTTTGGACACACCTTCTCATTCAATGCGTTTTCTTTATTTTCATGACTATTTACATTGTAGATTCTCACTGAAGGCATCAAAACTATGAATGAACACATGTGGAGTTATGTACTTAACAAAAAAAGGTGAAATAACTGAAAACATGTTTTATATTCTAGTTTCTTCAAAATAGCCACCCTTTGCTCTGGTTACTGCTTTGCACACTCTTGGCATTCTCTCCATGAGCTTCAAGAGGTAGTCACCTGAAATGGTTTCCACTTCACAGGTGTGCCTTACCAGGGTTAATTAGTGGAATTTCTTGCTTTATCAATGGGGTTGGGACCATCAGTTGTGTTGTGCAGAAGTCAGGTTAATACACAGCCGACAGCCCTATTGGACAACTGTTAAAATTCATATTATGGCAAGAACCAATCAGCTAACTAAAGAAAAACGAGTGGCCATCATTACTTTAAGAAATGAAGGTCAGTCAGTCCGGAAAATTGCAAAAACTTTAAATGTGTCCCCAAGTGGAGTCGCAAAAACCATCAAGCGCTACAACGAAACTGGCACACATGAGGACCGACCCAGGAAAGGAAGACCAAGAGTCACCTCTGCTTCTGAGGATAAGTTCATCCGAGTCACCAGCCTCAGAAATGGCAAGTTAACAGCAGCTCAGATCAGAGACCAGATGAATGCCACACAGA